CGTATCTTCTCTTAATAAAAATTTAAGAGATCCCCAAGGGAGGAGTTTATACGTTCGCGCAGATCTGAAAAACATCCAAGGACGCGGGTATACGTCCTAACTAGATTATTAATTCATGCACCGGAAATCGCGATAAAATTACACTCCGGATCCTGAAATAATGAAATTTCTGAAACTTTGAACATAGAGCACAGACAGATCGTTCCTGTTCCTATATTTCGGCTCGTACTACCTCGTTCCGAACGTTTCCAACGATCTCTCGAAAATTTGTCATATTTGCCGTTGCTTTAAATTTTCGTACGTGCACGACAAAAAAATAAAGAAAAAACAAAAACGCCAACAGCGACAATCGTATCGCGTATAAAACATCGAGTCCAATTATTTCGGGAGAAATAAACGCACGTTGTAATGCCCGCTATTAAAACTGGAAATGACTGTATATAACAATGCGAAATGAACTTTTCTAAACGAAGGAACTTTGGACAACTGCAGTGAAAAGTCGATTTTTCTGAAATTCCAGCCGAGGGAAACGAAATTTTCGTACAGCAACACTAAAAATGAGATAGGAAAAAAAGAAACTGTTTCGTTGTTCGATCAGTTTCGTTGCAATTGACCGACAGTGTACATATTTATAAGCGAGTAAATGACGCAATAATTTCAAAGGAGAGGAAAAAAATTACACGCTTATCGAAATGATTTTTACATCGCGCGAAATTGCTATCGGATTTTATCTTTTAATGCGATGAGTTTTCAAAGGAAGAGTCATGCGAGTTCCGCGTCACGTTCCTATTATTATTATTATTATTATTATTATGTGCAATTATGGAACTCATTGCCAGTTACGAAATGGAAGTTAAAAGCGAAGTCGAAGCGACGCGAACGATTGTCTCGTTGTCGAGATACAAATAAAGGCCGGGCAACGTGTACAGTCGATTCCACAAAATCGCGAACTTTACTTGAATGAATAATATCGTAGGGAGGGGAAAAAAAAAAGGTGGAATCTTACACGAAGCTTTGCGCGACTGATAAACGCCGCGTTGCGCCAACAAAGGAAACGATAATCGCGTGCAAACGCTTTTAGGAATTCCCCTTATCGCCATCGGTCGCGGTTTTTCCTCTGTCTGAGTAGTAAATACACAAGAAATATGCACACGTTATCCGTAATCGGGCGCAGCAGGGAATTTCACTATTTCCGGGGTTGTATCTCATTTTTTCCTTTTTTTTTTTTTTTTTTACTTTTTAGACACGCGTGCGTGCAAGTAGGTAGTAGCACCTTGAATGGAAAATATTTTCAATTGAAAGCTCGGCCTCGTTCGTTGAATTTAGCTTACATTCTTAACAAAACGTGGAAAAATGTCAATATCAAAAAGCGGAAGATAATTAGGATCTACATGAATCGGAGGAAGAACGAGTTCGGGAGCGAGTAACGATTTCTCGTTCCATTTTTCAAGCAAGCAGAAAATCAAACAAGCGAGGCAAACCATCTGCTGGAAATATCAAGCGACGCAAATTGCTCCTGAAAACAGAGAGCCGGTACACGCAGGACACGGTGTACGCTAGCCGACGTATTTAGCAAAAATAAGTAAATACACACAAGTATCGCGCGAGTCGCACACCCATGGAAAAGCAAGCATCGCTGGAATGTTTGCGACGGCGTGCCAAATAAACCAATCGTAGCCGCGAGTTAACGCGTTCGCGAGGATGAAAAAAAGGAAAAAGAAAAAAGGAAACAGTAACGGGACAATGCTAACGCGGCAATGAAGTTTTTATTAATATGAGAAACACGGTACAAATTATCACGTCTATTTCTCCGATCTATCTATTCGTAGATACGTAGTTCCAACGAACCCGATGGAATTTTACGCATCAACATCATGCACCTTGACTCTTTCTCTCTCTCTCTCTCTCTTTCTCTCTCGACCGCGTGAACAGCGATCGCGTATAAGTACTATTTACAATTGCGCTGTTTGACAATTATTAGCCTTACATCCAATGCATTCAATTTGACGAAGCTATTGTGCAATTCTTGCCGGCTACCGTCTAATTCTAAGCGAGACTAATTCTAACAATAAGCGGGGAAGAACTGAGCGAAACCGTCGTGTCGCGTGGAAATTTTCGTAGAAAACGGGGAAGGCCATTAACCGGAAAGGCTGAAGCGTTCCGTTCAATTGTTCCGCGCGCGGTTCTCGGAATCAAGTTTTACGCTGTCGTCCAGTGATTAGTCGCGGCAATAAGTCACGAAAGGGACGAGTCTTGCCGTAATTCGAATGAAATCTTCGTCTCAGCCAAGACATTTTCCCGTCTTCTTTTTTTTCGCCGCTCCCTCATTTTTCTTTTTTTTTTTTTTTTTTTTAGAATTTAACGAGTGGAAAGTAAAGATTACGCGGCTGGAAACGGAACTTGAACGACAAACGTTCAAAGTTCTGTCTCGTCGGATTGTCTCGTTGGATTGGATAGCGCGACGGCGGCAGCTCACGTTCAACCTGTCCGCGATCGAACGGGAACTGACGCGGAAAGCAAAGATAGGAACGACGAGCTTCGATGAAAACTATTTAGGCAGAAAGGAGGAGGTTCGGCTCGAAGGTTAATTTCCGTCTTCGATGTTGACGCCGAAACCAGATGAAACGATGTCCGCGTCGCTTTAACGAGCAACGATGTGCGAGCAGTTGAGCAACGAACAAGAGCTGAACGACAGTAGAAGGAAAAACAAAAAAAAAGAATAAAACAAAAAGAGAAAGAGAGAGAGAGAGAGAGAGAGAGGCAGAGAAAATCGACGTGCAAATTAATAAATTTCCAATGATTTACACCTCGATCGTCGCAATAATCCACGAAGCGGTTGAAAAAGCGACCCAGTTCTCGAACACCGATTCGCAGAGATAAAAGTTGCCGCGAGATAGAGCAGGATTCTTATTAAACGCGCAGATAATTTTCTAGATCCTCGTTCCCCGACGTCGCGAATTTCCTTATTAGGATACTACAGACACAAACATTTCCATCCTGAAAAATTTCATCCGACAAGGAGTCGGATGAAACGGCCAGCGGAATTTCCCCGCTATGAAATATTTAACCGTACTTCTCAAATAAAGAATGGTTCTAACGCGTATAATATCGCGGCGTGTAATCTCCATTCTTTTAATGTTGAAACGTGAAATAATGTTTTCTTTCTTTTCCTCCCCCTTCCGAACGAACGTTCGTGCCACGTTCATTTTATCTCGATCCATTCACTCGAAGCTTCGTCTTATCTCTTTTCAACAAAATTTGAAATTAGCCGAAATTTCACGTCTCGTCGTTGTAATTTTTCTCAAAGAACTCGTTATTTTTTGTTTTCACATTTAAAAATACTAATTAGCTCCCCGAGCAAAGAAGTCTCGCAGTCAAGATATATATGCTCCTTCTTCCCGTAAACGCAAAAGAAAGTGTGGCGACTTCTAAATTTCGTTTAAATATTGTCTCAGCTGTATGGAAACGAATATTTTTGCGCGGAAACAGCAACAAATTTGCACTTGTAATAATTTACAAATAGTTTCAAGAAATATATATATATAAAATGTATATTTGCAAATTACGTAAATGTGAGATAGACCAAAATTACGGTCGAATATTTCCGGTTTCCCTTTTGAAGAAACCCAAGGGGAAATATTCCCCTTGAGCGAAAGTCGGAGCCGGGCAATATTACACGTCACGGGAAAAGATGAGCCTTGCATGATTGAGCCGCGCTTCGCTTCAGAAAATTTCTCACTTTGATCGGAAAACCACGGAAAACCTTCTGATCGTGATACCACCAGCTCGATTTGGCATTCTGATCCTGAAGAATCAATCTACGCGCGCGAATTCGTCATACGAAGTCGATTGCAAGCGGTAAAACGCGAAGTAAAGTGTGATACAATTGAATTTAACGCAACTGCCGGTATATCTGCTTACACGGCAGAAAGAAAATTGCGAAAAATGAAAAGAAATTGTGCCAATTTATTTATCCTTGCGGATCAAGCAAGCGTTTCCCTCTTTCAGAAAGTTGCACGGAAACGATTTCAAAAAATGTTCACATTTTACCACGCATAGGGCAAACCTAGAGAACGTAACAAAATTCGCGAATAATTTATTTTTAAAAAATTCCCTTCTCCCCATTAAATCGAAAACTCGAAATTTACTAATTAAAGAGGAAAGAAGAACCTTTTAAAGGTCTTTGCTTATTACCTTTTTCGTTTTACAACATGTAATCTAATTTTTAAATAACGATAATAATTTTTAAATCTGTACCTTTGAAAAAAAAAATTAATTACTCACGGCCGAAAACGTACGAAGCGACCATAATTGTTTTCGACAACGAACGCGATATCTCGTCACACGAGTCGCACGTAAAAGCATTATACCCTGTACAGTTAGAAAATTAAAATACGTTGCACCGGTCGTTCTCTCGGACGCTGACTCAAAAATATAAGAAACCGGATTACACGCTCTAGGTCAAACGCGCGGCACTAAACCCTGACCTTGCGAGATACGTAATCCAGAATTCTTGAAACTCTGTCTCTGTCCGTGAATGATTCTCAAAGATTACGAAATGCCTCGAATTGCAACACTCGGAAATGCTAATATCAACATAATAAAGTGCAATCGATGCGGGGAAAAAAGAGCCTGCGTATTTTATCTGTTTTGCGCAATCGCCGATGTTATTTTACACAGTATGTGCAATAACGTTAAGCGTTGCATTATTCCTGGCCGTGTGGCAAATTCTTGTCGGATCAATAAAAAAAAATCCACGTTGTGGAAAACGTGGGACCGGGACCGTAAGCGTTATTAATTTATGAAATCCGTTGTACGTAAAGCGTCGGTTTCTGAACGCGAGTAATTCGATGTAACAGACAACAGACTGTAACTGTTGATTCCAATTGCAAATGTTCAATAAAATACACTGGAAAGTTGACAAAAACGCGTGTCGCGTCTGGCCAATGATCAGGGATTCCAAGGGGAAAAAAAGAAAAAAAAGAAAGAGACGTTCCTACCTTATCGAGATATTGAAATCCATGTTCCTGCGCGACCTGCTGAGCGACTTCCGGCCCTCCTTCGATGTGAACTGCCCACTGATTCGTATAGGATGCCACTCGTCCACCAAGGGTCACCAGCACGACGATGGCCAGTCCGAAGATCCTCTGCGGGCACATGATAGCTCTGCCTCTCGATCGCGACTGCTACCGCTAGCGGCTCCAGTTTCACGCTCAACACTATTATCCACTATCCACTAAAATCGCCACTGCTACCGGCAACGAAGGAGGCCGAACGAAGATAACAAGAACAACGACAACAAACAACGGCACCAGCACACTCACCACCATTAAACTCCACGGCCCACTTATCTATCTATCGCACGCGCGGCGAAAAAGCAGGTTTAAAGACAGGTGTGATGATAGACCGGATAATAGTCGAATGTGGGAAACAGAGAAAGAAAGAGAGAGGGAGGGACCAGCAAGAAACGACGGAAGAAGAATACGAGAGAGAGAGAGAGGAAAAAAAAGGTGAAATAAGACGATGAGTAACTCGCACCTGGTGACCGTCCGCGGCCAACTGAACTACCAACCGAGTATGTCACTCGTTAAGTAGCCTCCGCACTTGCGAGCCGATGACTACACACTCTCTGTTATTCTTCTTCTTCTTCTTTCCTCCACGTCCGCGTCGTCGTCGTCGTCGGTGTCGTCGATGGTTGTTGTTGTTGTTGTTATTGTTGTTGTTGTTGTCGTTGTCGTCGTCGTCGTGGTGGTCGTGGTGCTCGTGGCCGTTTCCTCGTCGGTGACGTTGCTGCCACTGTCGCCGCTTTCGCTCAACGACGAACAGCGGTAGGTGGGGCGATCGTCAAGTCATGTGGCTGTCGTTGGTGGGGAAATCGACGTGATTCTCGTGATACCGATAACCGTGGACGCGTACCGTGCACGTGGCTGTCCTCTGACTCAAGGGCGACGTACGTACTGCCGCTGCGTTCCGCGTTCACCGTCCGCAGCTTCGACTTCATTCGCCTCGCGTACGAGCGGCACGATCTCGACGATCTCGTTGAAAAAGAAAAAAAAAAAATCGTCCAGCGTTCTTACCGTCGACGTTCCATCGAAAAATGAAAACCAATCCACCGTTCACTTTGATTCCCTAGGTCGGTTTAGGTAGACTAACCGACCTAGCCGTTTTCTATTCCTCCTACTCTGCTCGAAACTTTTTGATTACGCGGAACAACCTTCGACAAACTTGTTGTTCCAAACAGCCGCCACTCGTTATTGCTCGTTTTTCTGTTCCCTTTCTCTCTCTCTCTCTCTCTTTCTTTCTCTTTCTATTTCTGTCGCGCGCGCACGCGTTTTTCTTCTTTTCTCTCTTGGATTCAAATTCGACGATCGACGAGCGGACGATGAAGAAACTCCGAAAGAAAAGACGAAACGATTTCAACCGTATACGAACAACATTTAGTACAACGGGATGGATTACAAGCGGAGTATCGAGAGATACGTTAGTTACGGGCGAGATAATCGTTCGGCGAGCCACAAGGAGGAAACGCACTTAGACACCGGTCGTCCGGTACCACGATGGCAAGACAGTCCTCCGACAGCGCTAACCAAATAGTTGGCAGCCAGTTGTTATCGACCGAAAAGTCGGTCGATTCACGTCATCGACCGTTGCATTCTCGTTGCTAGCTGCATATCTAGGAAAATTCGTCGATGACGTGCCTCTCTCTCTCTCTCTCTCTCTCTCTCTCTCTCTCTCTTTTTCTCTCGGTGGTGTCCTGCTTTTCTCCTCCTCCTCCTCTCCCTTGATCTTCTTTCTTCGTGCTTCGCTTTAACTCATCCTCTGCCTGTCAGTAACCGAATTTGGATCTGAAAATTGTTTCGGGAATTATAAATCTCAGATATCTCAGATGAAAAAGAAGAAAAAAGAAAAAGGAAAAGAAACATGACGAGAATAAGACTACGATTAACGAGCAAGTTTTATCAACTTTAGAAAGTAACAGACGTGAAAAATGACAGAAATTAAGAAATTAAAGAGTTAAAGTATTACTCGACGCACGTAATTGGAGAGATTGCATATTTCCACGTATGTGTTACGTATGTTTTACACTTTTCTATCGCGTAATAATATCCTGTATTCGATCGACGAAATATTCACAAACGTTGCAACGACCGAAAACAATTTCGAAATGGACCGACCAATTACTCCAAGGGATAAATAAGCCGAGTCATTTGCTGCTTTCTGTTCCCTTTACGGAAAATTGCATATTCCCAGCCACGGTCGAAGCTTAATTACAGTCAGTCCGGCAAACAAGAGTAACTATGCAAATTCTTACTATGTAAGAACCATCGTTTGCGTATCAGTCGTTATTCAATCACAATACGTTCCTCTGATTTTTACAGAGTTCTGACAATCATGGTTTTACGAGCGACGTTCAACTACCTCCGAATACGCCGTTCCCACGTGCAGTTTTGCCACGTATTTTTGATGATAAAGTTGTCGGCGAGTTTTTGTCGGTTGTTTGCATCATCGTTACAAAAGAAAAGTGCTCGAAACGAGTCAGATTTTCAAATGAAAAGAAACTAGGGATCGATAGACGTTGGAATGGTTACACGGCATACCGGGGAAATTGCATTCAGCGTGTAACTCGACCTGATTTCCTTCGTACGTAGAAATTTATTAAGGAAATGCGAATTTTCCTTTTTTTTTTTTTTTCCTTTTTTCACTCGATGTTTCTTTTCGTTTTCTCTTAACGAACTTGAAGAGTCCACCAACGCTGCTGTTTCCTTTGTATCCTCGCATATTCTTTGAAGTTGCACTTTTCATTAACGACTTGCAACTTTCATTAATTTTCGGCCTTTAAACCACTTGGCTTGTTCAATTCAATTGTTTTGGAAACGTCTTGGAAAAAATTGGTAACTCGATTCACTCTAACGAAGAGAATCGTTAGAGGAAACGGAATTGAAAATAATTTTCTAGAGAAATGTAAAATACGGAGAAGAATCTTGAACAATCGAGCTGGATGAGAAATACCTATAGTAGCACGCATCAGTCGTCCCGGACAGTTATGGATTCCTTGGAACGAGAACTGCGTTCCCTGAGGAAATTGTACTTCTTCCGGTGTAACACTGATCTCAATTTCTCTTTTTCGGGTGAGCTTTTATGCGATGCAACATAAATTTTCGTTGACGTCATACGTTCTCTCGTACACAACCTTCAACGAGGTGAATGATGAACTGCCGCGAAATTAACATTCCCATTTGGAAAAAAAGTTCAAAATTCATACGTTAACGTTGAAAAATTACAACAATGAAAATTAACCTTATCCCTTGGAAATTACATCCTTTCTTTCTGCGTGTATGTGTGTGTGTGAACGAAAAAAACCAAGGCTCTTTTGTGAAAGAAAGACCATTATTGCTCAACTTCCGTACTCAGTTCAATTAAATTGAACTAAATTAAATTGGGTTAAATTTACTTAATTAAATTAGACTCTTTCTTTTTACTGTTGGTTTTTCTATTTTTATAGAATATTTCTCTAGCCAATTGTAATTAAACATCGCGAAGCCCAGTGTGTAATATACGTATGAATATCATTTTCATTTATTCAAAGATTTAAATATTTCGAGGACATTTTGATGAAACGCAATTGAAGAGGGAAAGTTAGAATTGTGAAATACATTTGAAATAATGCGGTTCGATGAAAAGAGGTTGAAATAAGCAACGTTCTATTCGCGACTAATACTTCTTGCAAATGTCCACGACTCTGTGACGATTCAGTATTCAAGGGATACCGTTTTCAACAATTCTACGGTTTCAAAGAACGAAATGGAAACGACTATCGTGCCATATTATCGATGCATTTTAAAGGTCGCTGGGTTCCGTGAAAAAGGCCTCGAATTTCAGGCTGCGGTTCGTCTGGTTACAATTCGATAGAACGTTTACACCGCGATCAAGTGAAATTGCGTTTGCGATATTCGTTTCGCCTCTCGTTCGCCAGTAAATTTTAAAAGTCTATTTTAAATGTGGAAATACAGATTGCAGCTAGCACAAACATTTTTCTTGCGCGAAACGGTGATAAGTGATGCCTACTAACTATTCCTATTCCGACCTTGTCACTTATATATTTCGTCCATCGATTCTGAGCTAATTTTTGAAATAGACAAATGTTTAATTGAAGTGGGAAGTTTTCAAAATAATTGGCGCGGGTGACGTAACGCTATTGTCGCCTATAAATAAAGCTATTTTTCACGTGCTTGTCCGGAATTCTACTCGACGTTGCAGCGAAGAACCGTAAAGAAAAACTGAAGATTCGCATTATCGTCACGTTCGAGCGACGTTCCAGACGATTCAACTTCCGGGGAGAGGATATTGGTAGCCCTACAGATACACAACTTCGTGAAAGCTCTATTTTATGTCCGAAACAAGTTACATTTCCTCTCTATCTGACTTCTGTGCTTTCACCCACCAATACAAAACGTAACTTTTCATTTGGTTTCAAAATAAAACAGCTAATTCCGCTTTTGAATAAAATATCTTAATCGTCTTCTCGAAAACAATTCGAGAAACAAAATTGATTTATTGTTTGAAAGAATCGAGCGGAAAGTTGGCAAAATTTCCTAAAAATCAACAATCAACTGAAATTTGTGAAATTCGACGAATATTCATATCTATGCATTATCACTTAACTTTGCGAGGGTAAGAGATATTCATGAAATTGTTAAAATATGAATCGCCTCGAAAAATCGCACACGCAGTTCGTTCGATAGTGAATAAAGGTTAAGGTCAACACTGACGATTGAAGATGCGAATTGTTAAGTCTCTGATTATCGATTCTGGCAACGATACATTTCAAATACAACGATATTCACATATTCCTCACAAATTTCCGAGCAAAATTATTTCGCTCTTTTATCACATTTGCCAGACGAATTGTCTGGAACAAGTTCCTCGGAAACATCGACTGTAGATACGCGTAATTTAATTACCGTTTCCGAGCGTACGCTCCTTTCTCTCTCGTCATCTAGCTCTACCTCGATTTCTATTCGCGATCGCTAGTCCGGCGCCTCGAGTTCACACAAGAATTATGAAAATTACAGGGCAATGAGAATCGACTTGGCCAAGTATTCCGACTGTATGTCGCGATTCGAAAAAGAAGGGAGCAGCGAACTTCCGGGGGGGGGAAAAAAAGAGTACGCGACGCATTGGTTGGCCAGCACTGGAGCATCGCAGTCCACTGGAACATCTACTTCGTGCCTCGAGGAAATTGCATTCTGCGGTTTTCCTCCTTCACTTCCGCACTTGGTACTCCAATGATAAAGAGAGAATAAGAACGGCCGATGTGGTAGAGGACAGCGTCAGAGAAGTGAATCAAATTTAAGCCGACTTTCCGCTCTCGCATCTTTCGTTCTTCTATCTTTGACCCTCCGTTATTATCGCTCCATCTTTCGGTCTGGCCACGTCGCTATTACCCGCCATTTCTCTTCTCCCTTTCCTTTCTTTCTTTCTTTCTCTTTTCTTTTTTTTTTTTTTAATTTTCAAACAAAGCACGCGAAAACCATTTTACTCGCAGTGGAAACCGCTGTGGGACGGTCCAGTTCGGTCCATCGTCGGCCTGGCAACAAGCGAACGGAAAGAGAGGAGGATCCTGGACGCGTGCACACGCCAGCCAAATGGAAACGGACCAGGCCGAACCTCTTTGCCAGGTAATAACTGACGACCTTTGCCCCCCAACGAGTCTCAGCCTACCTGCCTGCTACGTGACCGAGTTCTCTTTCTCCAAAGAGGACCGATATTTACGCACGGCCGACGCGTATCAGCGGATGAATTCAACAAGAAGGACCAGCTGCAGTTGCAGCCCGTAAAACCTGCATCTCCGCAAAAGGAACAAAAGGATAAATAGATAGTTCGACCCTCCTCAAGATAGACCGTATTGTTGCTTCTCTTTTTCAAATATAATGATACAATTATTGACGAAGGAGCTAACGATATTATAAAAATATTTGCCAGAATGTATTAGAAATATCAAATGATGATACGTACGAATGAAAGCGTACAGACACCTTTTAGCTACTTTTTTATGTGATTATATATTGTAGGCAAATGTAAGTGAAAAGAGCACTTAATCACGTATTTTCTGGTAATAAATAATGCATGCATCGTCATAGACTCACGATACTTGCTAAGAATATTTTCGAAAAATAAACGAATACCGTCTAAAATATATCGTTCGAACGTTACAATTCTATTACAATTTGACGATAAATCGAAATGAATAATTCATTTAAACGATTTTCTCTGTCGAAATATGCTAGTTCTCGTTTCAACGTTTACTAACCTCCAAATGCTCGTCATGTACGTACTTCACCTGTTGTCAATTTAACATTTTAAGACGAGACGTATAACGCAACGTATCATCGATAACAAAAGGATCAAGCGTTATATATATTTACAAATTCGCCGCAGAATGATAGATGACGGTTTTTCACGTCTTTCGACCGAGAGATTCACAAGTCAACGAGACGAGAATATTCGACAAATGTGAAAAAAGACAAATTACCTGTTAACGCGTCAGCATTTTGTACGTTTTTCCAACGATGCTTAGTTATGCAATGACGACTATCGCAGACGAAAGGAATGGCAACGAACCGAGGCATGCAAGGGCCTTTCTCGTAACAGGAAACACTCGGGGGTCACGGACTGCCATGAAGTTTATACACCAGCGTGGTTCTGTCGTGCAACGAGAACACGAGACGCGCAGAAAACCGGCTCACGTTGGGCTCACTCGTTAAGATAACACGACTTTGTGTTTTATGTGTAATTCCACGTGGCAACAAGTCGAACAAAAATTGTGGCTTGCAACGAAATGAATCACGAGCGCGAAATCCAACGTCCAACCGTCCGATTGACAATATACCTGCGCAGTGCTCCACTGCGCAGCGTCACTTCGTCAGTTTCGAGAATCGCAAGCGCGACCATCGAACTGCCATATCGAATCTCGCGATCGAGATCATGTCGTCCCTGTGTAACGTTGAAAACGCAACGTTCGAAAGTCAAGCAAATCCGTCCAACAATCGTCGCTCCAATAAACATGGCATTGAAACGAGAATCGAAAGGTCATTCGGCTCCAATATGACTCGAAATAATACAGTCGAGGGAACACGCTGGAAACTCGTTCGCCGTAGTGGGAATAAAAAAGGAGTAAACAAATCCGGCCGCGTGTCGACGCGCTCAACGTAACAGACGCCATGGCTTGCTTGTTTTCTTCTACAGGTTAGACGTACGCGGAAATCGAAATACATGTGACAGAGTTAAAATCGCACGATTCACGGAATCGTGTAGACGAGAGAATGCAGGCAAGTTAGAAACGACAACTGCACGTGGGTAGAAACACGCCCGTCCCGCCACTGGAATGCACCGAGAGACGGTATTCGCGCTGCATAGCTGTCAAGATTCAAGATATTTCGTCGTATCATAGAAAGACGAACGCGACGAAGTTGCACGCTAGCGTGCGTGTTGATGGTGTGTACGTGCGCACACGACCCGTGTACATATGTACAATGCATGTGTGTATAACGAGGAGCTGGCTGCACGAGGCCATCTCAAGGTAACGGTTCCCGGACACGCATTTCCATACCGAAACGAGGAGTTTACGGAGTATTGTGGCTTGACAGCTAGCGAAAATCGCTGGTGATAAAATACGGAGCACGCGTTCGTTCTTATTAATAGACTTCACTCACGATTTCAGCTGCTGGTGCTCCTTTGGCTCTCCTTCAATCGAACCGGGTCTACTGCGTCCGTGATACTGGGTTTCTCTGGCCGCCGTGATGCCGTCGGTGTCGATACACAGTCTCGTGCACGGAGAGATACTCCAATCGAAGCGAGGAATGCGGAAGATGGAGAAACGGGGATAGCACACCGCACAGTTGCACAGCCTGGGAAACACGCCTCTCGTACCGCCAAACAAGAATGATCCACGATTACTCGCCGCGAAACGCAACCGAATCCATGATCGCGACAGGTAACGTGTACGTAAAACGAACCGCGTGCAGTCTTTATAACGTGTCACCGTCGACGCGCGAATGTCGGATCGTGCGACGTCATTCCTCGTTGCGTTCTCATCTCCACGACGAAGCACGGTTGACTGACGGCTCGCCAGTCGCCACTCCGTTCCGATCTTCCCCTACCACCGGCGCTTCCCCCACCACCCTCTCCTTGTGCCCCCCACCACTCGGCAACCAGCTTCTCCCGCCGCCGCCGTCGCAACTCGTAGCCCCGCGCGTCCCACGCCACCCGCAGCGACGTTCAGTCACTCGGCAACCGCTTGTCTGTGTACTTCTCTTTCTTTTTCTCTCTCCCTTTGCCTTTCTCTTTCTCTCTCTCTCTCTCTCTCCTCTTTCTCTTCCTCTTCCTCTTCCTCTTCCTTTTCCTCTTCCTCTCTCTTCCTTTCTGCATCAATCCCGTAAAAGCGAGCGAGAGAACCATGGACACGGCGTGAAAGGTTGAGAAGGCTATCTACCAGTGTCGTCGTAATGCCACGGGTGTACCCGTTAGACGCTCGTATTCTCGTATCTCTTCCTCTGTATATCCCCAGCATGCCTATCGTTCGTTGCTTTCTACGTGATCCTGTTCTATTTTGTTTAAATAACGAAGAACTTATTTGCAGTTTCGAATAGACTGCCTAAGCTTTTCTATCAATTCTCGCTCATGAGCGGCCAATCATGGATAAAATGTGATGTTTGTCAACGTTTTGTCACATTACATTTAACAAAGTACAGTTCGTTTCAGGTACTGAACCTGACAAGCATAATGGTAATTGAGAATGATTCGAAAGTACTCATTACACACAAGTAATGATATTTCCAAGTCTTTTAAATTAAAACAATTTCCCAACTGAATCTAGCTAATCTATTATACATACATATGTATTCGAAAAAAAAAAACGTGTTTGAAATCCAGACATCAGTGATTCCGCGAGAAGAAAAGTTCTCGAATGGCGTATATCATCTGAGCGTATTTTCGAACGTAAGCCTGTCCTGCTATGGACACGGGCCCGACAAGATCCTCCATCGTCCCTGGGGGTTCCAGCAGAAACTCGTCCCTTTCCATCATGCAACCCTCTTCTTTCCTCGTTCGTTCATCTTCTAACCTTATGCACGTAGCAGTACATCTTCTCTGGCATGCACCAGTGTCTTCAGCCTCCGTCAACCTGGTTTCTTCTTGGCTTGTCTCGTTCTTCCTTAGCCCCCTTCTTTCATTCTTCTTTTCCCCCATTATCGGGACCCTAGCGGGTCGGACGAACCAAGGCAAAGAGGGAGAACCACCGAGAATATCGAGCAGACGTCTCGATCCCCGACAGATATTCTCCACGTTCACGTTCGATTCTTTTCAATCTTATCTTATTCACCTGTTCAATTCGTACCGATCAAGCTCGCCAACCTTATTTCAATAGATCCAGGGGATACGGATATCGAGTAGCTGATTGTTTGTTGCTGGGAACCTTGCTAACACGTCACTGGATGCATGCTAAACGAGCGTATCGATAACGAGCCAGGATATTATCCAACGTTGGGACACATCCGGATTTCCGTGCATTTCTCCGCCTGCCTTATTTGCACTGTATGTACATACGTACACCGTGTCTGAGATCAATTGCCTGCTCAAGGCCAATCAGAGGTTGCTGTTACAATGCTCGATTCACTGTTCTTCTCGACTGGAACTCTCGAGCTTTCGGATTTCATTTTACATCAGTGTGTTGTATATTTGATACACCAACGTAATATTGAAAGATTAATGCGTGACGCTAGAGAACGAAAAACATTCATTAAGCGTAAGATTTCCTAAAAACCACTTTACTTCAGCAATTTCTGCTGGATATAATTCGATGTGAATGAAATTCGATTATCGATTTATTGACACATTTTTAATATCGGTTCAGCGTCGTGAGAAAGAGAAATCAGAATCTAGGGAAAGGGAAAAATCAATGGCGATAGAAAATATTCAAGCAGAAGAGCATATCCAGGAAAAGCAAATGAGACAAGGATAAGAAAGAGGCCAAGGATTTCAGGTTGGATAAAAATCGACGCTTAAGGTATCTCAAGAGTGAGAGAGAAAGGCAGAGAAGCTTTCGTTAAAAATTGATGATGGATTTGTTTTCGACCTGGTATACGACATTTATTTAGTTTATTCCTATTCTGTCGCGCCATTACATTGTTATGTTATGATATTATAGATGTTTTTACCAAAATTTTAGTTGAGGATATTATTATTGAACAATTTATAAATTAAAGTAACTAAAAGAACAACAGCTTAAATAAAGAAAGATCTATACATTTCAGTTAGCAACAAATCATAATTTCTTATGGTTATTCTTTGTATTAAACAGTATTACCGCATTAACCTAACTAAATTCATAGATTAATCTATTAATGTTAATGTCAAAAGTTACAAAATAATCGTACATCATGGAATATTTCATCGTTCATACGTATTAATGTAATAGATAATGCAATTTGTCTCACTGTCAGACATTATTATTCGTTAACAATGAATAATATGTTATGACAACAGTGGCATAGTTAATTTCACCAAAATAACAATTTTACGCTGATGACCCTACATAATGAATAATTATCGTCAGTCGTGGAATCAATAGTTTTCGGAATTTCATAGTAACACGCTTTTGATTGGTAGACATATAAATCAACACTATGAAAGAGTTAGCAGATCAGAAATCGGTCGAGCGTAATGAAGCTAATACGAAAGTAGGTCCATTACGAATTTGTTCATGTGTTCACATATATATATGGAGAGTAAACCTGGAAAATTTTGTCTCCAATGCAGAAAATGGGACAAGGTTATTTTACGTGTAAATTATATTTCAAATTTCCCAAGGAACTGTAATTGAACGGTACAAAAGTTTTTATCATTTGAAACTCGAAAGTGAAACAGCTTCATCAGCTTCTTATTAAATTGTATTTTATATAGCGGATAATTCTTGGCCACCGAAAGGAGCACGTACCTTTAATCTTCTCGAGTATCAACTACATTTCCATGTAATATTCTTTCACTTTTTGTTTTCATCGTATATCTTCCTTAATGTTCTACCAACTCACAAAGTAATGTAACAACATACGATCGTAATCAAAAGTAACATTTTCTGACTAAACAATTACGTAATTTCAACGCTACTTTTCCAGTTCAGTTTCAACAAACACACCATCCAGTTTTAATTAAACAAAATATTTATATTAAAATGTAAGAAAAAAAGAAAAGAAACGATAAACTCTTGTCTTTCCTCGGTGTCCTTTTCAATTTTACTTTTCAATTTAACTCATTACTCATTACTTTTGTTTCAATGCTAATTCTAACCTCGTTTGTTTTTCCAGTTGGTATGAGAATCATCGGGTGGTTAAGAAAGAGCAAAGAGTCACGCGTTTTTCCACTGATGGACTTCACGGAAGTCGACGACTGCGGAACGATTTGCTGAAAAACCGGATCGATTGGGGGGTGGGTCGTGCCGCGGAGCAGCGGCGCCCTTATTCCTCTCGTCACTCGGCAGCCTCCATTAATCTCCGTCAGTCGTGTCTGATGGACACCGTGGAGGCGATAACGAACGGTTGTTGAGAATGAAGGACGAAATCCCTTACCGTCCCTACTCGTTCCTTTTCTTATCTTCGCTGATAATCGAACCAACGGTTAAATGCTAATGCCTCGTGCTAATACTTGCTAAATTACCTCGCGGTGAATGGGAAATCTTGGTTGTACACGTCGCATACACGTGGCGATTCATAAAATTATTTCCGTGTAAAGAGTAAGAATGCTGAATGGAGCTTAGAATTGTCACTTAAAAATACAATTTTTTGACAACGGTGGGGCATGATCGCGATCAAAGGTCAATTTAATCAAAAATGCAGCACATAGACAGAACATTTCCGGCGCAGTTGAATAAAATGTACTACCCTTTGGCTGTTGTTCTCCATACTTTTATATCGGCGCGTCGTTCTTTCTTTCGGTTGTTCAGTTGAAACACAGCGTACCAACAACGGCGAGCACTGTATTTGATGGCTTCAAAGGTCAACATAAGAGTCGTTTGTCTTTCTATAGAAAACAAAAAAAAAAAAAAAAAGAGAGAAAAAATATCGTTACTTTGTATGAGAAAATCGGATTGCCACTCTGTGTTTGATTCCGCTTGCACGAATATCGTAATATTTCACTTCTTAGTGGATCGATCGTGGCGCGCTGTTTACAAAAATATAATCGTAAAATTAAATTTCACAAAGGATAAATAGTGAATCTCAGAGTACAACTGAAATTTAGTTCATGTTTGATTATTTTCAAGGAAATAATTTAAAGGTCTGCTCCTAGAGTTTTAAACTGATTGAAACTGAGTAGAGGATGTCTGTTAGTCTATTATTATATCAATACGTTAAAGAAAAACACAAACAAGATAGAGAACGAAGGAAGAAGAAGATTCCATTGCAAATTCACGAAAGAAAAACCAATTATTGGAATAATCTGTGTTTTCTCATAAGTTCTCAAAATTCGTTCCAAACGAAGTTTCCAAAACTCGGCAGTCCCCCGATGCAAACTCTCAATGCAAACAGCAAGAGCGGACTACCTAAGGAAAATACGAGCAGTGGGTTCCATTCAAAGAGGCCAGCGAGAGAAAGAGGGAAAAAAGTGTTGGAAAGTAGAAGGTAGAAAAGAAGAAAGAACGCATGACCGAAGGAATTACGCGGTGAATAATAACGCGGATTCCAAGCAGATATTAATTATTATCGGAGCAATGGTGAGCATCCTTGGTTACGTAGCTGGATTTGGAATGACATAATTCTTTCGAGACAAGACGTCATCGATTATATTATACTTCCTGCACACAACCATGCCGCATACGTTTCACTCTTGAACAGCAGGTTTGTCATAGGACAAATGATCATAGGTAATTTAGAATTCTTATAGAACTCTTAGATTACGCACAATTCTGTGAAAAACAAAATGCATAATCAAATTAGTTTTCTGTGGATCCTGCTCGACTTGTCTTTATATGGCTTTGCGATAACTTGATTATAAAGGAATTAGACAAGCTTTTCTAATCGCTTGATTTCTTTTTTCATCGACATTGAATATTCTTGTGATCT